GGGGGGGGGGGGGGGGGGGGGGGCTGGTTTTTTAGCAGAGCAGTTCCTCCACCTGTATTGCAAGCCCAAGGGCCCGAGTTTGATCCCCATACCAGGAAAGAGAGAGAGAGAGAGAGAGAGAGAGAGAGAGAGAGAGAGAGAGAGAGAGAGGGAAGGAGAGAGAGAGAGAAGGAATGAGGGAGGGAAGGAGGGAGGGAGAGGGGAGAAGGGAGAGGGGGAGAGAAATATAAGCCTGACAGAAATTGGGACGTAGGAGGGGAAGCAATATGTACTTTTCCTGATAGTGGAGCAGGCAACAGATAATACCCGTATGAGATGGAAGAATTTAACATTACAATGTAACTACCAAAAATAAAGGGGGGAAAGCTCAGGGCAATGGTCTCTATCTACACTAGGGAAGACTGAGGAAGGATTGTGAGTTTTAGACTAGCCTATAGAGTTACATAATAAATTCAAGGCTAGCTTGGTCTATACAGCCAGATTTTGCTTCAAAAAACAAGCAATAAAACAGATGGAAAAATGCAGGTATATTATAAACTAGTAATCCATGTATTTCAAAGAAGAAAGTAAGATCCAAGTTTGATAAATTAAGAAAAATGGTATAGACATTCTGGAGTTCCAGGGGTATTACTGCTTTGATAATACTGAACCTAGGGTTTTTGTACTGACTTACATCCTCAGCCCTTTATTGTTTATTTTGACAGAGTCTCACTAATTTGCCCAGGCTGACCTTAAACTTCCTATCCTCTTGCCTCAGGCACCCAGAGTGCTGGGATTACAGGTATGCACCATGCCAGGCTCAGAAGTTGATATGGTTATAATCATACAGTATTTTTATCTCAATATAGTGATTAAATTTGTAGATAGTCATTAATATTTATACTAACCCAATAGTCTGGTTAATAATGATGCCCTTATATAATATGTAACCAGCTTTACCGTATAACTTTATAATCACTAAAAAATGAGTATTTCCTCATGATTTCATGACTATCTGTCATAAGTTCACCGAAAGCAGGACTTGGGTACATGAAGTCTCTCTAAATAGCACCTGTCACAATTCATCCCTTAATGCATGCTTGAGTGTAATTTGGTTCACATTTTAATTACTAAACCTAGGTGCAGGCAATTACCAGTTTCCATAACTTCCCTATAAGGTTGTGCAGGATACTTATTTCTTATCTCTCATTTCCAGATTGGCTCCAAGACCCTCATGGATACCAAAATTCAAGGATGTCCAAGTCCCCTTATTTAAAATGACAAAATATTTGCACGAAACCTATGCTTACCTTTCCATAGTTTAAACCATCAAGATCACTTATAATATCTAATACAGTGTAAATGCTATGTAAGGTAGTTGTTAACTTATTTCTTTAGAAAACAATGACAAGAAAAACATCTATACCATGTTCAGTACAGGTGCACTGTACTGATAATATTCATTCAATATTATCCCCAAGTTCCAATACAGTGGTACTTGAAATCCTAAACTCTTCTGAACCCTAAGGTCAAATCTAATGCATAGGAATATTTTTCAATATTTCAGTCAAATCCACAGATACACAATGTGGGGTTGCTGAGAGCTGCTCTGCACACTGCTCTGGCCTCAGTCAGCCAATCATATTTCTCAGACTTGATTGTCAGATTCCTGCAGTTTTGTATGGGAAGAGCTCAAGAGGGAAGAAGTACTACTCCCTTGCTGCTCTCATTCCTATCAGCGTTACTCCAGTACCAGAGGCTGCTCTTCCCACTCTCCAGCTGAACCCTGGCTCCTGCCCTGGTGGTGGTTAAGCCCCAGCTGCAGGGCATCCCTCTCCAGTCAGCCAGCCAGCTGTGTGCGGCTACTCTGAGCTCCTAGATTCTATTCTTCTATTCTCCAAGCCTATGGGGGTTAGCTGCTTCCTGTCTGGATTAGTTCACTGCCTACCTTTTCTTTTTTCAGCCTTCCAACACCTGTGTGATCAATTCTTACGAGTTAACCTCTGAAATACTTCACATGGTTTTTTGGGCCCAGATTGATGCAAAGGAAAGAAAATATGCACTCTCATTAGAAATTATTCATAGAGCACTGCTGAGCAGCAGTCTGGGCTTCTTATAACCTCAATAAAGAAGTGATTCTGGCCAGGTGTGGCAGCGTACGCCTGTAATCCCAGCACTGGAGGCTGAGGCAGGAGGATCACTGAGTTCCCGACCAGCCTGGGCTACATAATGAGTTCCAGGTCAGTCTCAACTACATAGTGAGACCCTGTCTCAAAAAACAAAAACAAACAAAGAAAAAAAGAAGTGATTCTGGGGCCATTTGTATAAAGCCATCATTAGGGTTTTTGTGTCCATACACTGATGAAGTTTAGCACAAAATTTGGGGTTTAACGAATCATAAAAAGACTATAAAATGCCTCACAAAGAGAGAAATGGGACACCCACCTACAAGTGAGAAGTGTGCATAAATAAAAAGAGAAATATGAGGGCTGGGGATTTAGCTCAGTGGTGCTGCTGCCTGCCTCGCAAGCGCAAGGTTCCAAGTTCGAGCCCCAGCACCAAAAACAAACAAACAAGAAAAATAAAACAAAACAACTCCCCCAAAAACAGAACAAAACAAAAAAAGAGACATAGGAGATACAAGTACAGTTTTATCTCTAAGTTTTAAGCATTTTTCTTACTGCACACAGGAGCCAGTGTGCACAAGGGTCTGGGAAATCTCCCCGGCACTCTGCTTCATTATCTACTTCAACACTGATCCTCACTGCTACAGACTCTGAAGCCAAATACAGGATTTGAACCCCTGCTCTTCCATTTACTGTCTTCCTGTGGCCCCTATGCCTTAGAGTTTGCTCATCTGTCAAATGGGGAAGAATAACAGAATCTACTTTGTAGGATTACTGTGGGGAACCAATTAAGTTGCTCTCTGTAAAAGGGCTTAAATGAGACACAGTATTCAATAAGTACTATATAACTTCTTATATTATTTCACATACAAGGACACATAATTTCTTTTTTTAAATCCTGGAAGAAATAATGCTACCTCTGAGTTTTGTTTGTGGTTGCTGTTTTTGAGATAGGATGTCCTCAAAGAAGTGATCCTCCAGCCTCAGCCTGCTGAGTGCTGAGCTTGGAAGAAATAATGTTTACAGCTCACACAAGGAGTTTTGACTATATGAGAGCCTCTGTAGAGAGCAGTTCTGCCTTTTTTTTAACCACAGACTCTTTTGAAGGTAAGAAAAAGCCATAGCCTTTTTTTTTTTTCCTAGAAAAATGCATATACATAGTTTTCCAAAAGATTCTGGCTTAAATCAAACATCAGACCATTTCATGACAATACTGCTATAACAAAATTGAAACACTAGAGGGTGTCACAACCAAAGGAAAAATGAAAAGAATGTACAAGGAATTTGGGGGGTTTAAAATTCTTCAACTGGCACAAAAGAGAATAGTTAGGTGAATCTACTTCCCTCAGATGTTTTAAAATGTGTCAACTCTTTTATTGGCTCTAGATTAGCACCATCCAACAGAATTTCCTGCAATGATGGTCATGTTCTAACTCTGCTCTGTCCCAAACAGTAACCACAGCCACGTGTGGCTACTGAGACTGCATTGAAATGTGAGAACTCTTGCTAAGAAAAAAAATTTTTAATTTATTTTAACTTTAATTTTATTTAAATTTGGCATGTGGCTGTCACAATGAACAGTGAAGTTCTATATTTAAGTTTTGAAATGACTTGCTTCTAATCACAGGCAGTATGTAACACTGTTAAAGGAATTTCTAATGGGGATTCATATAATAATTCACTATTCCATAATAAGTCAATATTTCAGAGCCAGGCATGGTGGCACATGCCTGTAACCTCAGCACTCGGGAGGCTGAGGCAGGAGGATCGCTGAGTTCAAGACCAGCCTGGGCTACATAGTGAGTTCCAGGTCAGTCTCAACTACATAGTGAGACCCTTTCTCCAAAAAAAAAAAAAAAAAATTTTTTTTTTCAGATATAGAAAGTTGTTAACATCTCCTCTCTACCCTACAGGTGTACAGAATCAAAAGTAAAGCTTTCTTTTATTCTTTACAGAAGACTACCTACTCAATTCCTGACTACACTAATTCAAATATATTTTTAAGTCCCTGGGTTATAAGTGCTTTCCCAAATGCATTGAAAGAATTAATTAATAAATAAGTTGGGCATGGTGGTGCATACCTGTAATTCTAGTACTCGGGAAGCTGAGGCAAAGGGATTACTGTGAGTCTGAGGCCAGCCTGGGCTCCACAGTGACTTCAAGGCCAGCATGAACTACACAGCGAGATTCTATCTCAAGAAATCCAAAAAGTTAAATAAATCAATGAAAAGAACAAACCCTATTCTACCGAGAACTGCCACGGGCTAAGAAAACACTGTGAAGTCAAGACTTACAGGATGTGAGACAGGGTCGTGAAGGGGAAGAGTCTTCAGGCTTTGGAAGGAAGAACATGGTGTGGCAAAAAAGCATCATGAACACCAAGAAAGAACAGAAAGGGTGAGTCTAGGATCAAAGGGACACGGCTCTTGGCTGCCTCTGCACCACATTCTTCCTTTACACTCAAAATTGGTCTGCTAAAAATAAAGCTAATGCTGACCCACCTGTCAAAGAGGAAAGCAGTCTATCCACATTGACCACGTTACAGTTTACAACCCAGGGTCTGGTACAGTGCTTTGAATGGAGTAGGTACCTAATAAATGTTGGTGACAATAATAAAAAAGAATTAGAAAAATGCATTTGCAAACATTTATGTGCTTATTAGCAGCTACAAATATTAATAAAGAGCAGGTGAGTTGCTGAAACTATACCTTGTTTAGAAACATAGCGGCTGGCAAGCTAGGTATGCCCAGGCACTTGTGATGGGGTCAGAATGCAGCTGTCCTGGCTCTTTTTTGCAAAATAATCGTTTGCCCACAGCTGCTCCCAAATTACCAAAAATCAAATAAATAGCTGTCATGTGATAGCAAGATTAGACTGCCTCAATTTCCATTAAGGAGAAATAACATAAATTGTCGTAAGTTCCACCTCTCAGTCTGAGACCAGCACAAAGGACACTTTTATTCAGGTCCTGTACTGTGAAACACAGCATTGTTGCTGGCTGCTTCTGTGGCGGGCCTCAATTCTGCTGTCTCTGTCACAGAAGCTGTTTCCTAACTTCTGCAGGACAGCTCCATGTACGAGTTTTCCTTTGATATAACTGAACCAAGGAGTTGCTTCTGTGCAAAATTACAGAAGTGTAAAAGTACCAATGTCACAGATGTACGAATCTCTGACGCTTAACTTTTCTCATTCAATAAATTCATACACACATACTGAAAAAAAAAATGTTTTTTTGTTTTTTTTTGAGACAAGGTCTCACTATGTAGATCAGGCTGGCCTAAAGCTCTTGCCTCAGCCTTCTAGAGCTGGGATTATAGGCACAAGCCACCACCCTCAGTCAAACGAAATTCTTACCAGGGACACCTACCTTATTTCAACATGAGTATTCCAGTAAGAATTATGACTGGCATCTTTGTATCTTTAGTTTAGAAAATATGCTTATAGAAGTGACATATTCTTTTTAGATAATTAAAAAATACACATGCGAGAGAAAAAAAAAAGAAACTCAAATCACCACCACCTGAGAAAGCCATCACCAAGTTAACAATATGATATAGATCCTTCTAGCAGTTCCTTGTCAATTTGTTATATAGTTCATAATGTTATTTTATGTTCTCTTTTTTTTTGCACTGGGGATCAAACTCAGGTCCTGGTGCTTGTGAGGCAGGCGGCAGACAGCAGAACCACTGAGCCAAATCCCCAGCCCCATAATGCTATTTTAAACAAAAGTCAGCTGATATTGTACAAATTTGTATGTATTTTTTCATTTAATACTGTAAAATTTATAATATTAACATTTTTTTACATCATTTAAAAAATGCTTAAAGCATTCCCTCTAAAACTGTAAAGGAGTTAGTTTTCTAACCCTCTAATGTCAATCACTTAGGTCATTTCAAATTTTTCACTATTATGAATAACACTGTTAACTGTAATTCTGGTATTCAATAACAAATGAAGAAATAGTTTACTAAGCTAAGTCTTTAAGCACACATCCATTTCTTTGGCTATTAAAGGTCATTAAAAACTGAATGGCAGGCACAGAGAGAATGTACAGTAAAAATAGCAATCAAACAGAGATAAGGAGAGAGTTCCTGGTGGTAGGTAAAGGAAAGAATACAAATATTAACCAGGGCCGGGGATTTAGCTCAGTGGTTCTGCAGCCTGCCTCACAAGCAGAAGGTCCCCTGTTCAATTCCCCCAGTACCAAACCAAACAAACAAACCAAAAAAACAACTTACCCTATTAGCCTTATAATATAAAAAGTATAGCCAGATTCTTATAGTTCCAGCTCTTAAGGAGGTAGAAGATTAACATGAGCCAAGGAGTTTGAGCCAGTCTGGGCAACTACTGAGATCATGTCTTTAAAAAAAAAAAAAAAAAGAGGAAGGAAGCAAGCAAAGAAGTGGTAAAGTAGAGCTGTAGGAAGGTGGAATACAGAAAGAGGGAAGAATAGAGGCATTTATAAACCCATTTTCTAAAATGACAAGTTAAGAAACCCTATAACCTTCATTCTGAAAGTTGATGAATAAAAAAATAAAAGCTGGGTTGGGCATGTAGCTCAGTGGTACAGTGTTTGCCTAGCACACACAGATGACTGTGTTTAATCCCCAGCACCACAAAAGTAAATAAATAAACAAAAGTATGCACCTATAATCCCAGATATTTGGGAGGCTGGGTAAGACAACCAAAACTCTGAGGACAGCCTCGAAGACTGTAGCTTTGAGGAATCACAGAGAGACCTCTAGCTCAATAAATAAATGAATAAACTTTAAAATTACAAAGGTAACACATGACCTTTGAAATAATATAAATATCAAATATGAGTGATGAAAAGGAATGCATAGAAGTTAAATTATTTTCATATAAAAGATCCAAATATTGTCCAAAGTTGATAAATGAAGGAACAGAAGTTTAAACATATTATATAGCCTATGGAAGTAAACACAGAAAAGCTAAACACAGAAATAGTGAAGTAGTCTTTAAAATGTGTCTCTGGACAGTATGGCTGGAGATAGAAGCAAAGAGAAAAAGACCGACTCACAGTTATTCATCCTAAACTCTCCAAGACTATTTGATTTGTCAGGATAATCAATCACACTCTAATAAAGACTGGCTGAACAACTGACAATTATTCACTTTTCCTTCCCAGACTATACGTCCTCTTACCATAAGTGCCCACACCCAACTACCCAGAGAACATTCTTCCTCTAGCCAGAGGCAAACCTAAAACACCTATGACCTTGAAGACCATCTAGGCTGTTTTGCTCATTTTACAGGGGAGGACCCAGAAAAGCCAAGCTGAGCCACAGAATGTCATATTTCTAGTTGATGGCAAATCTCAAACCCACCTCTCCTGCCTCCCAATCAAGTGCTCCACCTGACCTACCAGAGACCTTCCTGAGTCCTAGAGCAGAGTCTTTAATCATTATTTGCTTGAGCTTCCACATTATCACCTGTTTCTTTTTCTTTTCTTTCTTTTTTTTTTTTTTTTTTTTTTTTTTTTTTTTTTTTTTTTGGTACCTGGGATCGAACTCCAGCCCTTGTGCTTTTGAGGCAGTCAGTGGAACCACTGAGCCAAATCCCGAGCCCTAGCCCACATTATCAACCAGCCAAAATTTGTAATCGAATGTGTCTGGATTATGAAATGACACGCACATTGACATGACTGTTCAAAGTGCACCTGCAATTATCCATCCCAGTTCCTTTACCACACCTCCCATTCCTCCCAGGATGTAGCTTCTTTAGGGCCTGGTACCCACACACTGAAAGGCCTGAAAGCATCTATCTATCTGTCTCTATATCTCTATCTTTCCCTATTTCCCTCCTTCTGTCTCTCCTGGTGATTAAAACCAGGGCCTTTGCACTGACCTGTATCCCCTGCACTTCTAAATTTTCTTAATTTTAAGGCAGGTCTCACTAAAAATAAAGGTGATTCATAAAGTTTCCAAAGCAATCTTCTGTTGAGCACCATGACATTCAACTTATTTCATGTTCTTCTTCACAAATGTTAAATGTTTTAAGTACCCATTCTCATTTTCAATGGATGGAAAGGGAATAAAATTGTTTAAATAAAAAAATGGAGGCACAAGGGGCTGATTTTTTAAAAAAGAAAATGGATAATTAGGCACACAATTTTCGTTTTTATAATTACTATACTTATTTATAAAAAATATTTTTAGGGCCAGGGATTTAGCTCAGTGGTCCCACTGCCTGCCTTGCAAGCTCAAGGTCCCAAGTTCAATCCCCAATACAACAACAACAAAAAAATATTTGGTTTTTGAAAAAGGGTCTTGCTAAGCAGTCCAGGCTGACCTTGAACTCATAATGGAGCCAGGCTGGCCTCGAATTTGTGGCAATCCTCCTGCCTCAGCCTCTTGAGTACTGGGATTACAGGCATGTACCACCATACTTCTAAAAATTTTTAAAGTATAAAAGTCCCTACAGATTTTTAGAGAAAAATGTATAAAAATGGGAAGCAAGGCAATCACTGGAAATCATGTATATACATAAGAGTCCAGACCTAAAATCTCAAAACTTCAGTATTTACTGTATTTTCCCCTAATTGTATACAATTTATGGACAGTGTACTCACTGTCTTGTCAGTTTAAAACAAATATATGGAGTGTTAACAAGCATGTTCCTTCTCACACAGGAGCTGGGCACAAGGTCTGTGAGGCAACAGCAGCAATGATTTATCAGCAGTAATAAGAGCAGCCTGAGCAGCAAGCCTCCTACTACTTTTTTTTGGGGGGTGGGTACCGGGGATTGAACTCCAGTCCTTGTGCTTGCAAGGCAGGCCACCGAACTGCTGAGCTAAATCCCTGGCCCGTGATTTTTAAAAGATGTTTGAAGGATAAGAGGATGCATTCCCTGATAAGGTACATTTTGATCTGCAACCAGAGTAAGAAAGCAACCATTGGAAGAGCACAGGAAAAATGCTTTCTAGGCAGAGGGGACTATAAGAGCGAAGCCGTAACACAGTGAAAAGAGGAAGGAGGTAAGAGAGAAAATAGAAAAACGATATACTGGAAGGTCTTTGCCAGCCTTGGAAAGAATTCTGGGATTCCTAGTGCGTGACAGCAGCTATGGGAGGTGCTGCTGGGAGGCAGAGCACAGTGGTAACATTCCAAGCAGAGGAAGGAGGCTGGCACACAAGCACAACCAAGCTCTGCGTTCACTAGAAGTTCAGCTGGGGGCCAATTGGATGGTGGGGCCTTATATTCTATGGTTAGACACCTGCAGTTCCTCTTACAGCTCAGTTGCACCTGGTCTTAGGAAGAGGGGATTTTTTAGCTCAGAGGTTCCACTGCCTGCCTGGAAAGCACAAGGTCCCAAGTTCGATCCCTGGTACCAAAAAAAAAGGGAAGAGCTCTTTGTAACAACAACACAAAAAGAACACGCCAAAGTAAAAAGAAACTTGTAATACAAGTAAGGTTTCAAGATGACTTGTAACCTTACAAGACAGCTCTCCTTATTCAGAAAGAAATGGGAAGAGTATACTAAAAAATTAAGTTTATTTGAAAGCTAGTAAGCAGTACTTCTGAGAGACAGTACCACTCTTTCATTTAAACCTTCTGCAACAACTCCAGG